TACTTCCTTTACTTTCTGAGGGGCCTGCGCTTCCTTTCTCTTCGTTGCTTTCCCTTTTGCGCGATCCACAGTCTCTCCACAGCACTCGTCCTCCAAAACGTCAAATGAATTTGAAGTTGCTATGGCGTTTGAAGGCGGCTTATCAAAGTTCTTCTTAAGGCCCCTGTCATTCGCAACTCTCCAAGACGAGGTCCCTTTACTGCTGGTCTCCTCCTTCGTTACTTCTCGTTGTTTTTTAAGCTGACGCACCTCCTCCCGCAGAGAGTCCAACTCTGTCCTCAGGGCTCCCACTAGAGTCACCAGGTCCTTCACTACAACTTCCATATTGCTATGATAATATAACACTATCAAAGTCTTGACAATTCACTTGAACGTGTCCAGCGTAGGATGACTAGTTAATTCCCCAAATTAGAAATCTTTCATATGAAGAAAGATTATTGCATTCACTGGAAAGGCGAAGAGTTAGGGGAGACATGATAGAAGCTTACAAGTGGGTGAATGGACATAACAAAGGGGATATTATAGGGTATTAAAAGTATCAACACAAGACAGAACACGAAACAATGGTATAAATTGGATAAGTTTAGATTTAGGAAAGACTTGGGTAAATACTGGTTCAGTAACAGGGTTGTTGATTTGTGGAACCAATTGACGCGTAACATTGTGGAGGTGGGGTCCCTCGATTGTTTCAAGCGCGGGTTGGACAAGTATATGAGTGGGATTGGGTGGTTATAAATAGGAGCTGCCTCGTATGGGCCAACAGGCCTTCTGCAGTTGCCTTTGTTCTTATGTTCTTAACTTCACGCGCCCTGCCGGCCCCGAGAGCATACTGCTCTGGCGCACAGGGAATAATGATGTCCACGCCCCACCTTTCGGACCCCATAGCAGCCAAAGTAATACAATTTTCGAACTTCCGTTGCTATACCCATATACAGACAGGGGTTTTTGACACTTTCAGAAGAAAATGAATTTTTCCTGAGGTTTCATTTCCTGCGCACTGGGGGATGTCATAGTTATAGTCGCGCAGTTAAAGGGTTAATGCGAATTGTTCTATACCTGAAGATGTTTACCTTTTGGTTATTTTCATTTGTGTCATTCAATGGATTGTTTTTACATTGATTTTGTGTTGTTGGAGTACTCAATGCTATACTTTCATGCAGTCAAAAAATGAAATCAACCTTCAGTTAATTTCATTTTTTCTTAAAGCCTGGGAAGGATGTTACGAGTCTGTGTTTGATTCTAACATTCATCATGCTAAATATGTATGTCCATTATTTCTTTTCCCTGTTAAATAAATATTACATGGTGTTCAGTTGTGTTCTTGTATAATTATGTTTGATTTAATTGTAGCATGCTGTAGTGTGCCGTATTGAATATTGTGTTAGGCTATTTGCATGTTCATTCTTGTGGGGGGAGTCGGTGGCGGCTCATTGGGGGGATGACCATATTTGGGAGTGCTCCAGTGGCGGGCCGTGTATTCAAGTTAGCGTCAATGTTTCACCATTGAAAATATTCCTGTTATTGATTGTGCTTAAGTACTACTCTCTGATAGCAGAGTATCAAGAGATTTCATGTAGGTTTTAGTTTGGTTTTGTGGTAGACACCATGCCGTGCATGCGGATGGAAGTCAGTCGCGTGGGTAAGGCTCGCGGGTGGAGACATGTGATAAGCTAAGTTTGTGGCAGTTTTATTGTTTAGTTTACAAAGCTGATTTCCTGGTTAGACTATGTGCTTACCCATCTATTCATTTGTTGCAAAGAAATTATCTGTGTTTATATAACGATATTGTAAGAATAATTATGGGTGTATTAATATTTTTGGCTACCCTGCATTTTTCCATTTATGTTATTTGTATGTTCTTTGTTACCCTTACCTTAAGTATATTGCTTTGTTAAGTAAACTTAAGTTCTAGGTTCTCAGTGGGAAGAGTGACATTGGTCACAATGACTTGTGGCTTTTGTTCATGCCACTGGTCGCTGATTAGCCACTGAGGTCCATTGAACCACATCTCTGCCTTTGTTAATTTCCGTAAAGTCAGGCCTCGGGAGAGATAATCAGCTGAATTCTCTTTAGTGGGTACATATCTTAGTTTATACCCTCTTGACAACTCTCGTATTTCCTTAACGTGGTTACTCACGTAAGGATTCTTACTATTTTTGTTTTTAACCCACTGTAGCACTGCCTTATTATCTGACCATACTACTGTTTCTTCAAAGTGGATGTGGCTTAAGGCCTTGATCAGATAATGAGCCAATCTTACACCTAGCAGTAAGGCTGTTAATTCCAGTTGTGGCAATGATCTTTTCTTTAAAGGTGCCACTCTGGCCTTTGATGTGAGCAAATTGGCTTGCTCATTTGAGACCAGGTAAGCTACTGTGCCATAAGCCTTTCCTGAGGTATCACAAAATACATGTAGCTTAATTGGTTCTTTTTCATTACTACTGTGTTCCAAGGGAACTTGACAGACTCTAGGATACTTAAATCTTTCCCTAACCCTTGCCATTTTTCTTGTAAGGTAGGTGTTAGAAGATCATCCCAGCCTATCTTTTGTTGCCAACATTCCTGCATTATTAACTTTCCATTAATTAAGATTGGACTTAATAGTCCTAATGGGTCGAAGGGTTTGCTGACTTGTGATAGCAATTTTCTCATTGTTAAGTTAGTGGTATCTGGTTCCACCGACTTTATTGTCAACTGATCTGTTGTTGTGTTCCATTCGACACCTAGTACTTTTGTCATCTCGGGTACTTGGTAGTCGGGAAATTCAGTTGCGATCAATTGATTTAATTTGTCATTGTTAGAGACCCAAGACTGGAGTGGCATATTGGCTCCCATTAATTCTCGATTGGCCGCATGGTATATGTCCAACAGCTTACTTTCACTGTTGGTTGTTCCTTGAAAATTATCCACATACAAGTTATTACTAATTTCCGTCTTGTTTGGGCTATTGGACTTCTTCAAGTGCGTATCTAAGGTAGCTTGAAGCAAAAATGGTGAAGAAGTGGCCCCGAACAAGACGGACGCAAACCTGTAAGTGATTAATTCACTGTTCTGATCGTTAGGATCCTTGACACGTAGGAACTTTGTGTAGTTCCGGTCTTCCTCTTGGACACCTACCCTAAGGAAAGCATTGCTGATGTTGGCCGTATATCCATAAGTCCCAATACGGAACTTTAACAGCACGTCGTAAAGCCTTTGTGTCAGCCTAGAGCCAGTTTGAAGGCAGTCATTTAACGAAACACTACTCTGCCTTGTCTTAGCGCAGCAATTAAATACTATCTGTAGTGGGGTAGTAGCAGAATTTTTCTGTACAGGATGGTGTGGCAGGTAGTGTCCTTCCTTTGGGTTATCATTTGCAACAACTTCGATAAATTTGTCATAGAGTTGCTTCTGTATTATTTCATGATACAACTTCAAGTTCTCAGGTTGTCTTTGTAAGTGCAACACCTGTGATCTTAATTGGTTTTGTGCCATAAAATGGTTGACAGGTAGCTTAGGGTGATTCAGCTTCCATGGTAACCTGACCCAGTATTGGTTATCTCTGTAGATGACTGAGTCCAGGTATTGTTTGCAAGTCCAGTCATCATCTGGGCTATGGTGTTCAGGGACAATGCCGAGAGTTGCAAGGTCCTATAACTTATGTACAGGGGGATCAAGCTCATCCTCGGACATGTCTCTGAGTTGCAGAGGAGACTGTTCTCCTAGTCATGCAACCATTACTGGGTTGGCATGTTAGTGGTCTACAGGTGCTGGTTGTTTTAGCCGTAATACTGGGCCTGTTAGCAAATAGCCACCTGCAGATGGTAATACGTTCATACCTTGTTTGTCTTCCTTTCCTTTGATAAACTTATGGTAGACATCTGATCCCATAAGGATTCCAATATTGGAAAGGTTGTCTGATGTGATTTTATCAGCCAAATGAATTCCCTTTTCTTCCAGGAATTTGGCTGTTGTCCCTAGACCATATACATACAGGTCTGTTGGGAATCTATCTACTACCAGAGCTTGTATCTTTCTGACATAACCTCCTAAACGTACTTTGGGTTGTACTACCCTGACGACTCGGGCTCCTGAGTAAGTCAGGAATCCTGCTATGTTTATTCGTGTCTCTTTAACAGGTGTAAGTTTCAGTGCATCTATCAACTCCTTTGATATAAAGGTTATTTGGGATCCTTGATCAAATAATCCACGTACGGTGGCTTTGGACTTTACATTTTTAATGATCAATTGTGCAGTAGGTAGAGCTGATTTATGATCAGACCTTGTTGAGAAGACACTTATGTCAGGTAACACAGTACAAAGCTGTACTGAAGTGGTAGTTCCTTCCTCCTCCTGTTTATTGGCAGACCTTGTACTTGAGTCCCCACAAAGTGCTGTGTGGTGTTGACCCTTATGGCACCTATTGCAAGTGCGTATTTGAGTTGTACAGGTGTCGGGAATATGTGCCCTTATTCACTTGGTACATTTACGTAACTCCTTGAGATGTTTATGCGTGTTGCACGATCGGGGGTAAATTTTGCAATAGTGTATGGAATGTGGTTGTCCACAGAACACACATGGTCTCCAGACGTTAACAGCATCTTGAGGAGTCACCGATTTGGGTGACGCGTTAACTGTAGGTTTAGAGGGACCAACTGCATATGTGCCCACACTGCTTTGTTTCCACTTTGGGGAGGGGGAAGTTGTTTTAGATTTGTTTGGAATACTGTTTGTACTCTGTTGTTTACTATTAGTCGTAGACGAAGGTTCAGATGTCGCTTTTCCATCTGGGTAAACTCTTTGTCGTTCTATGATGGAGTGTAACCCTTCTGTAATCTCCTTTACAGTCAGAGAAGATTTGCTATACAAGACAAACAACTTATCCAGTATGTCACTGGGTAATTTGCATTCCATATGGACTTGGATTATCCAGTCTGACTCATCTAGATTTACTTTATTTTTAAGTGCCTTGAGCAGGGACTCAAGCTCCAATCTAAAGGCTTGGAGTGAGTCTGCTGTACTAGTTGGAGGGTTAATGTCCAGCAGCTTCTGGGTTAGAAGTCTGATAGTTCTTTCTGGCTTAGCATAATTATCCTTAAGGAGCTGTACGGCATTGCCATAACCATTATCATTGAAGGTCAGATTACAGACCACCTGTAACGCTTCATCCTTTAAAACACTTTGCAAATATGTAAATTTTGTCGTCCTTGGTACATTGGCATTAGAATCCACAGAATCGACAAATTTCCTCCAGAAGTTGTCCCAACTCTCATCCTCTGTACCAGAAAAAGTTGGGAGATTGAGTGATGGCAATTTGACTTCTGGTGGTGTCTGGTTTTGGGAAGCTGTGGCTGCAATATTTGTATTGTCCATATGTGTGGTTATTATATCGTCAAAGTGTTGTAACTTTGCAAGCATTGCATCTTCGTAATCTGAGTTTTCTTGTATTACATCGTTCATTGCCTCTACAGTGATGTACGTCAGATTGAGGACATCTTGATATTTTATTATTTGTTGCAGCACATGCTGATATTTGATCTGTACAACCTTATAATAGTTTTCCAGTGCTGCATAACTGGAGTTTGATTACTTAAGTCCTCACATTTTTTAATCTGTCGTGTTAAGTGGCCCTTCATGCCAGTGAGGGTCGCTTTTACATTTTTGGCAGTAGACATCTTGGAAGTACTTGCTAGTCGTGTTGGACTTGCACTTGGACTATTTCTGACACTTGAATTAGTAGAGCCACTAGTTTCTGAACTAGAGCTGCTTATCATTTAAAATATACACTATATAATCATACACTATAATTTGAGTGGTAAGCCTGCATCAATGCTGGAATTCCTCAAGTTAGCCCTTCTTTATCACTCTTGGTTGGTACAGAGACACAGGTTAACACTCAAAGGTGAAATGATTATAGCTAAATTATGACTATAGTTATGGTAATATCATGTTGATAACATAACTTGGGTTGTCATGAATACTGCATAAAAATATGTACTTGCTAGGTTATAATATATGTTCAACTTTAGACAAGTGTAAAATTCTTACCCTTACACCAGGTTAGCACAATAAATTAGACTAGGTTGCTGTACAACACCAGCCTAAATTGTCCTACCCTTGTGCAAGAATTTGTTGTAAATAATGTGGCATGCAGTAATTGTTACAGTAATGGTGCAACATTAAAAGTAATTTTATATGAACTTAAAATTATAAAAACATACCTTTATAAGTAACTTATGAATAAAGTAGCCTCTTATCAACCTCTTGTAATGAAAAAGCACAATTGTTCTTTTGGTACAAGCCTCGGAACAATAATTGTGCTTGTTGTAAGTTCTGTTTGCTATGAGCCGAGATTGAAAAAGTTAGGCTAGAAAAATGTAAAATGTATAGCAGTGTCTTCCTGCTATAATTAATGTATATGTAATATTGCACTAATGTTATATATAGATCAGGATCTTATATCTAGGTGCAAAGGACCTACTGGTTAACTGAAATAATCATCTAAGTTCGAAGGACCAAATTTATGTGGTAAAAAAAACTGGTAGCTATTCTCCTTTTAAATTTACTTTAATAAGATAAAATTTTATCTTATTTATTTTCTTAGTGAATAAGTAATTAATTGAATGAACTGTATGTACTTGATAAAACTGCCTGAAATTATCTCACATAATCTGGGGGGACAATTTGTAGCTTAAACCACTTTGAGATGGCTCCTTTTTAAACCACAAATTGTTTACCTTATAAATATAATTATATCATACCACATATGGTGGTCTAATCTACTATTATTATGGTAATAGTTACTAATTATGAATACTACTTCTACAGTAACAAAAGGAGGGCTTAGCTGTTCCTGTAGTAGGGGCCTGCTAATCAGTGTAATTGTAGCATCAAAGATGGGTGTGACCCTGTGCCTCGAGTGCCACGTAATGGTGGCTGTGGAGGCTACAAGACTAAGCATACAGCTAGGTAAATTATGTGTAAGACCCAACTGTCTGCTCAGCTTCTTGATACTCCAAATCACAATTACCTGTTTGGGATGTAAGGAATTAATAAAGGTTCCCTAAATATATAATTACAGGTATGACATGGAATATGAGTGTAATAAATTGTGTAAACGTACTTCTTGTGTGTTTTTTCCATACAACATAACCATCTACCTATTATGAATAAACAGGCCAATTTAAACAAATACTTGGTAAGACGGATACTGTAGTTGCTGTGATTGTTGAGAGGCTGTGTTGCTGGTTGCTCGCTTGTTGACACGTAATCTGGGTGTCTAACGAGTTAAATCAGCTCCTGGAGCTCTGTACAGCATGTTTGTTGATGTTCAAGTGTAAGAGACGCTACCTCCGTGCGTGTTTTGGTTCTCTCTCTGGATTTAATTTTACATTAACTAGGGAGTCAAGCTATATTTTGGTGTTAGTAATTTTATTCAGTCTTATTTAAACACTTTATTATTCAATTTAGACTGTTATATAAACAGTATTATAGTAATGTAATATGGCGTCTGTTACATACTCCTAGCTGGATACGTATATAAATTTAAATAAACTTATTTTGTTCCATTTCATCATTACCTGTATATGTACATATATTATATTTTTGTAAATTATCGTGTGGTGTGGCAATATCAGTGGGGACAGGAGCGTGGTTGCTCTTCACACGTCTAATACCTGTTAGATTCAGGAAATTAGAATTGCTGGACCTGTTCAGTTATGGGAGTTCCAGATGTCACTTTTTAAATGTTTATATATATGTTACTTTACTGTAATTAAGCAGGTGGCATTGTAACTTATATATTTTGAAAGTAACTATTATATTTAATTTGCATTCTTATGTATTTTAAGAACAAGTGGTTGTTCAATTAGTTTTAAATATTAAAAAGTCTGTATTTTCCATCCCTCATCCTGGATGAGGCAGAGTGGGGAGAGAATTATGGGTAGAGACAGCGCGAGAGTCAGTAGCTTCAAGGACCGAGGAGAGATAACATCTTTGTGGAGATAAATCTGTAACATTCATGTTGTGCCATATTTTTATATATTATATTATATGAGAGACAATACTTTTTGTTTGGTTGTATAAGTTAACTTGTCCATCTGTGCTTTATATTATACTGTATTGATTATATTGAATATATATATATATTATAATTTATATATATATTTCTTCAGTCCTAAGGGAAAATTTACTTATTGCCGATTATCAATCAAGGGGTTACACTGGTGACCCGCTCTAGTCAACAGCAGTTGTAGTATTCTAGACATATTAAAGTATGGCTGTTGTAGGGTCACGAGCCGTAACGAACGATTGGTAACAGCGTCGTCGATGACGTCACAGAATCACCCATTCTCTATTCTTTAAGGGGATATGTTATTACGTGTGTCGGATTTCCGACAGTACTCAACATTGAAATGCGACCCGAGAATCCCCCCCCCCCCCCCGAGTTATGTTGGAAATAAACCAACATTTAATTACCATTGTATGCTAGGCATAGTATATACTAATCCTACTAATTTGAAGAATTAACATAAATTAATATTTTCCTATATGCACGTCATTTACCAAATTCTTCCCAAACAGAGGGACAGTATTGCGTCAGATAATACCTCGCAAGGTATAAATACTATCAACATACCAGAGAATTGAATAATATTCTTGTTTTTTGCCAGTATTCTTTACAAGAATTAATGCCTGATAATATAACATCTAGTGATCTAATAACAACGCATTATCAACTAAAAGATCACTATATAACAGTTTATCTGTTATCTTAAACTAACATGGAGGAAACAGAAAATTCTCTCCATATGCAGGCGATGAGTCACAATAACGTGGCTGAAGTATGTTGACCAGACCACACACTAGAAGTTGAAGGGACGACGACGTTTCGGTCCGTCCTGGACCATTCTCAAATTCGTCCTGGAAATTCTCTCAATTTCTCGTTTAATAAGAACACTGTTCATATTAATTATTATTTTACGAGAATTTAAATAATATATAATTGCAACTCCCTATAATTGCAACTCTATTCTCATTCATTTATTAAGTAGAGTAATTACAAGGAAAAGAATTTTCCGTTTCTACTAAAATATGTTGCACAAGCGGGAGGAGGAGGAGAGCGTGACTTACTACCAAGCCTTGGCCACGAACAACGTGACGGCCATAAGTACAGAGAGAGGTGAAGCTTTCACCAGCTACGCGATCGGCCCTTGCTATTAATCGGCCTCGGAGTGCATAATTACTCCATCAGCGATCCAAGGATTGTGTCGGTGGACAACAATTATGTTAAGTGCTCCAGTTTCTAGTGTTTAGAGCTCTCAACATGTAAACTTTACCCTTATTCCATCGTTACACCGTGCTCCCTCCTCTAACTGCAAGTACGTTCTCAGTGAACTTAATTTGACCCTTCCAGTAATCCATAATGATAAAATTTACTGTGTGTAAACAATTTTTACACCATATTGGGTTTCCAGCGTGTGTTGAGGCAGCCGTAGGTGAGACAAATTCCCACGCCATGCTAGGGAGTTAATATAATTATCATTATATTAAGAGTTAGCTTTCCATCACAACACATATGTACATGTGTATGATTTTGTAAAGTTGAGTAGTACTTAGTAACATTGGTTGGAGCAGGAGCGGGCTTGCTATATTTCACATGTATTATACCTATATTAGTCTGGTCATTTTTTGGACCAAATAATTGAACATGTTCACTGGTGGAGTTGCCAGATGTCACCTTTTAATATTCATATAATTATTATTTTCCTTTGATTAATAATGTTGCATTTTAAATTATGTTATTTACATGTTGCAGTTATATTTAAGTTTTTATTTATACCTGTGTGAGAACGATTACTTTTCTCATTTATTAGTTTTATGTAAAAGTACTCGTTTGCCATCCCCTGTCCTGGATGGAGGGGGAGGAAGGGTATTGTGGGTAGGAGCGTCGGACAGAAGTTAGTAGGAAGGAGACATTCAGTCGGGGAACATCGTGTCATGATAAGTCTGTGATTCTTGGTTTGTTTCGTTAGGGGTAGATTAATTATCTGTTGAGACTATATATATTTCCCTGTGTTTATAGCCATATGATTATATTGTGATATTGAAGTGATAAGTTTTTGTATTAATTAGAACCTGCATATATTTATTTGATATTATATATATATATATATATATATATATATATATATATATATATATATATATATATATATATATATATATATATATATTATGTGCATGTTTCTATATCCTATTCTTGTGATATTCTTATTTTTGTACTAGCTTAAGGGCACTCTGGTGTATCGTGCTTTAAAGACAGTGATTTACCCTAGACTATTCATACCACTGTCCCCTGATATACGAACTGTGTGTACGAGTTAGTAACAGTGACCTTGCCAGGATTAACTTACTGGGGTTCCAGTGTAGTTGACTGGTGTTCAATATTCGTTTGGACA